CAGAGACACGAGAGCTAAAAAAGTTTCTGCCCTCACAGAGTTTATATTATCACGTGATGATGGTGCCAGTGATGGTGATGATGGTGATGGTTATGATGGTTATGATGAAGGGATGATGGTGGTGATCAGGATTTTGATGGTGGCTGTGTTGGAGCTGATGATGGTGTGGTGACAAAAATCATAGTGATGGTCACATCGAGATGAAAATGTTTATTAAAACCCTCACAGATAATCTCTGACATTATTGAGTACTGGAATGTACCCAATGCTATGCTCAGCATCTAGCTAGTACTGGTTATTTTGCTTTCTCTAGAAAAAAATATTGTGCCATTATAGGCAAGGATGGCATGGAAAAGTTTCATTATATTTATCAGTTAAAATACTGTTACATATGATTAAAAGAAGTTGGTTTTCTTGCCATTTTTTTTTTTTTTTATTCTTTTTGGCTTGTTTTTTTTTTTCACCCCAACTATAGCCACCGAACCTCTCCTGACACCATTCACCCTCAACTTCACCATCCTGAACCTGCAGTACGAGGAGGTCATGCGACACCCTGGCTCCTGGAAGTTCAACACCACAGAGAGGGTCCTGCAGGGATTGGTGAGGACCCTGCTCCCCTAACTCTGTCCCTCCCAACTCATACATTCCTGCCCACCTCAGTTAAGACAGAGCCATGAAAGAGGATCCCAGCGACCTTGTCTGCCCCCCTCTTGTCCCCCCCCTGGGATCAAATTCCACCCACCAGCCCCCCCATCACATTTGCCACGCCCATGGAAGAAGATCCCACCCAGCTCACATCATTCCCTACAGATGCAAGCCCCGCCCACTAGTACCAAACTCGCCCACCTCACATCTGCCCCGCCCCATCTCCTCACTCCTACTCACCTCTCTCTCCCTTCTCCCCAGCTCAGGCCCTTGTTCAACAACACCAGTGTCAGCCCTCTGTACTCTGGATGCAGACTGACCTCGCTCAGGTGAGACCTTAGCAAAGCCACCCACGGCTACCCCAAGAGTTTCCAGGTCCAAGGACTTTGGAAGTCCTCGTTCCTGCCCTCCCTGTGCATGTCCTCAGTAGAGGTGGAGTTCAGGAGACACTGGCTCCAGGACCAAGGTGTTTCCTAATCCTACCAACTTCTTCCTCCACTGAGAGATTCTGCAGATACCATCAGCAGGACTGAGCCCCTACCCTGTTCTTCCTTCTGAATTCCCTTCTTCCCATCTCACTTTGAACAAGAAGAACATTTTTTTTTTGGAGACAGCTCTTTTTGTCCTGCCCCTAGGAAATCTCAGGTCCCTTCCCTAAGCAATCTATTTATTGTCCTTTCTCTCATCTCCTCTTCCCCAGGCCTGAGAAGGATGGGGAAGCCACTAAAGTGGACGCCACCTGTACCCTCCGCCCTGACCCCACAGGCCATGGGCTGGACAGAGAGCAGCTGTACTGGGAGCTGAGCCAGCTGACCCATGGCATCACTGAGCTGGGTCCCTACACCCTGGACAAGGACAGTCTCTATGTCAATGGTGAGGAGCTGTGGTGTGCTTGGAGTCTTCTCTTCCTTGCTGGGAAATCTCTGCTCTCTGGCTTCAGGTCTCACTCACTGCCTGGCCACTGAAGGCCTGGCCATGGTATATGTATGTGATGATTGAGGTCGTAGCTTCCTGATTTCTTCTTCATCTTGGATTGATTTCACCCTTTGGACCCTCTTCTCTGATGTGAGGGTGCAGATAGAGAATCTCCAATATCCTCTGCTCCATGAACCTCCTTCCATTGCACTAGGGTACCTCTCACCCCCATTTGGTTCCCCACCTCTCACTTAACCCTTGCAAGCTATCCTGCTTCCTTCTCTTGCAGATTTCACCCATAGGACCTCTCTGCACATCACCAGCAGTGAGTACTCAACTGATTTCCCAGTTTCTCCAAGCAGAGAAATCACTGTCCACTCCCTATTCCCCTCTGGCCATCATCAGGAGGGAAGGAGCTGGGAGGGAGGAGACAAGTTATTCCTTTTCCCCTATGCCCCATCTCTAGAGAGACTCCAAATTCAAACCCCATATGCAGTAAGCCTATTCATAGTCCCTCCTGCTGACATTTCTCCCATGAGCTTGCTTGCTGATGTCACTGACGTGGACTTCTCCTCAGCTCCTAGGGCCTCCACAGTGAACCTGGGACCATCTGGGAGTCCATCCTCCTTACCCAGTCCCTCAGGTGAGAACCAGAGAATGGCACCCTGATAGAGCATGTCTGATGAAGGCAAACATCTCTCCCATTTTCACTCTAATAAAGATGAAACATCACAGTATATCTTGTGATGAGTATTCGCCCAACAATGTATTGAGCGCCTACCTTGTGGCAGTACTGGGCATAGAGCAGAGAACACAAAAGTGATAAAAAAAAAAAAAAAAGACCTCTGACCTCAGAGAACTTATATTGTCATGGTGATGATGATGGCAGTGATAGTGATGATGGTGATGATGATGATGATGGTGGTGATGGGATTATGATGGTGCCTGTGTTGGAGCTGATGATGGTGTGGTGACAATAATCATAGTGATGATGACATTGAGATGACACTATTTATTACAAACCTCACAGATAATCTCTGACATTATTGAGTACTGATATTTACCCAATGCTATGCTCAGCATCAAACTAGTACTCCTAAATATGCTTTTTCTAGAAGAAGAAATACTACAATTATAGTCAATGAAGGCCTGGAAAAGTTTGATTATATCAATCATTTTAAATCCTGTTACATAAGATAAAAAATAAGTCAATTGTCAATTTATATATTTTGTAAACTTTTTAACAGTGTTTATTTTCCACCCCAACGATAGCGACTGAACCTCTTCTGATGCCATTCACCCTCAACTTCACCATCCTGAACCTGCAGTATGAGGAGGCCATGCATCACCCTGGCTCCTGGAAGTTCAACACCACGGAGAGGGTCCTGCAGGGACTGGTGAGGACCCTGCTCACCTAACTGTGTCCCTCCCAACTCATACATTCCTGCACCCCTCACTTAACTCAGAGCCACCAGAAAGAAGATCTCAGCCACCTTGTCTGCCCCGCCCATGGATCTAAGCCCTGCCCACCTCACATCTGCCCTGTCCCTATCTCCTCACTTCTCACCTCCCTCTACCTTCTCCACAGCTCGGGCCCTTGTTCAACAACACCAGTGTCAGCCCTCTGTACTCTGGCTGCAGACTGACCTTGCTCAGGTGAGACCTTAGAAAAGCCACCCATGGCTACTCCAAGAGTTTCCAGGTCCAAGGACTTTGGTAGGTCTCCTTCATGCCCTCCCTGTGCATGTCCTCAGTAGAGGTGGAGTTCAGGAGGCACTGACTCCAGGACCAAGGTGTCTCCGGATCCTACCTCCTACCTCCTCAGCTGAGAGATTCTGCAGACACCATTAGCATGATTGACCTACCCTGGTCATCCTTCTGAATTCCCTTCTTCCCATCTCACTTTGAACAAGAAAAGCATTTTTTTTTTTTAGACAGCTCTTCCTGTCCTATTCCCAGGAATCTCAGGACCCTTCCCTAAGCAATCTATTTATTGTCCTTCCTCTCATCTGCCCTCCCCAGGCCTGAGAAGGAAGGGGAAGCCACTGGAGTAGACGCCACCTGTACCCTCCGCCCTGACCCCACAGGCCATGGGCTGGACAGAGAGCAGCTGTACTGGGAGCTGAGCCAGCTGACCCATGGCATCACTGAGTTGGGTCCCTACACCCTGGACAAGGACAGTCTCTATGTCAATGGTGAGGAGCTATGGTGTGGTTCGAGACTCTTTCTCCTTGCTGGGCAGCCTCTGCTCTCTGGTCTGAGGTCACATTCCCTGACTGAGTTCATCTGCAGGATCTCTGCTCTGATCTGTGGGTGCTGAATGAGAGATCCCATCAGTTCCTGCTCCATGAAACTCCTTGCATTGTATCAGGATAGCCCTCACCCCTATTTTTCCCTCCAGGTCTCCCTTAATCCTTACCCACTGTCCCCCCTCCCTCTTGCTGCAGGTTTCACCCATGGGACCTCTCTGCACATCACCAGCCGTGAGTACTCAACTGATTTCCCAGTGTTCCAAGCAGGGCAGTAGCTGACCACTCCCCTTTCCCCCTAATGTCCTTATTAGGAGGGAAGGAACTGGCACGGGGCAAAAGTTATTCCCTTGCCTTCTTCCCCTGCTTCAGGGAGAGTCCGAATTCAAACCCCATGTGCAAACCCTATTAATAGTCTCTCTTGCTGACACCTTTGCCCTTAGAGTGCTTGCTGATTTCACTGATGTGTGCTTCTCCTCAGCTCCTGGGACTTCCACAGTGAACCTGGGAACCTCCGGCACTCCAGCCTCCTTACCTGGTGCCTCAGGTGAGTACCGGTCAATGGCACCTCTGCTAGAGCATGCCTGATGAAGGCAAACATCTCTGCCATATGCACTCTAATAAAAATGAAATGTCATCATAAATTTAATGATGAGTAGTCAACCAACAATCTATTGAGCATCTACCCTGTGCCAGTACTTGGCATACGGCAGAGAACAGAAACCAGATAAAAACTGCTACCCTCGGAGAGCTTATATCATCATCGTGATGATGGTGGTGGTGGTGATGATGATGGTGATGATGATAATGACAGTCCTGGTTATGATGGTTATGACGATGTGAGGATGATGGTGATGGTTCTGGGGATTATGATGGTGATGATGGAGATTATGATCATGGTTTTGTTGGAACCGATGATGGTATTATGACAATAATCATAGTGATGGTGACGTTAATGTTGATCATGGCTTTTACAAACATGACAGATAATCTCTGACATTATTGACTACTGAAATGCACCAAGTGCTGTGCTCAGCTTCCAACTAGTATGATTTAATATGCTTTGAAAAAAATCTTCTATCACATGGGCAAGGGAGACATAGTAACCTTTTATTATCACACGCTTTAAATCTGTTGCATTTTTTTTTTTACAAGTGTCCGTTGCAAACTCTTCTATTTTCTCTGGTTTGAACATTGTGTTTATTTTTGCTGAGCCCAATATCGAGTGGATCTGCTGGATGGAGCAACTCTGTCTTACTCACTGTTACTTCTGCAGTGTCTAGCTTATGAATGGTAGATCTACAAGAAATACACAAAATCCTCCATTGAAGAAAGGAAGGAAAGGAAAGGCTTTCTTGGAATGTATGGAAACACCACTTTTCCTTCCCTGGTTGAAATCTACAATGATTCTGTCAGATTCTACCCAGGACAACCATATGTCACCTATGCCATTCCACCATCCATGACAGACATCACCCATTGATAATGGCATCTATTCTTTCTGATTCCAAAACAGCTCCAGAATCCTTCAACGTTACACCCTGTGTAGTCATGCACAATTCAGTTGAAGTTGTCACAGGATTATGGAACATAATGCGAGGGAATTAGGTCCCTGTTTCTTACTGGTTTTCCGAGGAAGGCATCTGCATGTTGGAAGGCTCAACTCAGCCTCTGCTGGGTCATGGCTGATACCACCAGTTTGATCTGAGCCTGCCCACACCTCCCCAGATGAATGACCAGAAAAATTCAACAGCTAGTCCCAGCTACAACACCCCACATTTATTTCCATCTGTTGACGTTCCATTTACTTTCCTTGTGCTACAGTTGCTCCTTGGTCAAAATCTCATCATGAAATGGAAAAGGCACTGGGTCTAGGACCCCTACGTCTTTCTATTCAGCCAGCGTCCCTGGTAATTTTCCTGTATTTGGACTGTGGGTGCCTCAGGGCCTGCAGGGGACTAGCCCCCATGGGTCTCTGGAAAAGGCCATGTGATATCAGGATTAAGAGCACAGGTGCTGGAATTCGATGACCTAGGAGATGGGTTTCAGCCAGAACCTGGCATGTGGTCAGCTCTCGGCACGTAGAAACTGTCCATTGTTGAGAAAGAGTGGGATTCCAGAGACAGAACTGATGGAATTTGATACCAGTGGATGTTCACAGCCCAGAGGGACAGAAGGAAGCCTGGTTGGGTCCCTGTCAGCAGTTGCAGGGGTTGCAGTGACCAATCCCCATCAGAAAGTAATTGGGTGATAATCTGAGCGAGGGGGTTAGTTACATTACTTCCATTCCTGCCCCTATGATCTGGTCTCCATGTAGCACCCAGAGGAATATTTTGAAAGAAAAAAAAAGCAACATCAGAGTACATGTCTCCCTTGGGTAAAATCTTTCTGCTGCTTCCCACCGTTGTCACAATAAAATCCATGTTCTTATCCATGAGCCACAAGTCCCCAAAGACTATCATTCCTTTCGGACCTCATCCTCTTCTACACATGGCACATTGCAACATGGACATTGTGCAGGCACAGCTCGCTGTTGCCAATCTCACGGGCTTTGCACTTTCTGCTTCTTTCCTTGGAGGTGCTTCCTCTGGCTGCGTGTATAGGCGGAGCCTCTTCCTCCTTCAAGTTTCAAGCAAATCCCAGGTTTTCACAGGGAACTTGTCTGAATCCTCTATCTAAGTCAGACCCTGTTTTCTTTCTTTTAAACAATCCTTCCGTGGACTTACCACGCTTTCATTGTGCTTGTTTGTTTACATGCCTGTTGTCTGTTTCCACCCTGTCGGTGTGTAATTTCTTGTGGGCTTTATCAGCCATGTTCTATGTTATACTCCTTTCTGGGCCAGTCGTTTTTGTTTTTGTTTTTTTTTGTCCTCTGATACATTCTCCGCCCTTCCCGTATGCTGCTCTGTGGGCTGGACGTCTGACCCCTGAAAACTACATTTCCCAGGCTCCCTTGCTAACTGCCCCCCCCATTCCTGTTAGGTTCAGCCAATAGGAAGCATCTATGGGAGAGTGGTGGGCGGGGCTGGGGAAGAGCCAAGGTGCTTCTTCACCTCTTTCTGCTTCAGGTAGCATCTCCAGAAGGTGATGTGTCCCCTTTGTCCCTTCAGCCCAATGTGACGAGAGACTTTTTGATTTTGCCGATTTCTCTGTTACCCTTCCAGGTTTTGGAGTATTTGTTGGAATTTTTTTTTTTTTTTTGGCATGAAAGTCCCTGTATTGAAAAAGTTGGCATGAAGTCTATTTTCCTACCTAAAATTATAGGTGGCAATGTCAGGAGGATGCCTCCTGCACAGCTGGTGCTTGACAAATATTTGTTGAAGGAAGGAAGGAAATGAAATTGCAACCAGGGACCTGAGACATGAGTCTAGTCACATAATTAGGCCAGTACAGGGGAAGTCTTGGAGCCCCTGTAAGTGACTCCAAATCAGGGCTCCTGGGAGAAGAACCAATTCCAGAGCCAGGTGCAGTGGCTTGCACCTGTAATCCTAGCCACTCTGGAGGCTGAAGCAATAGGATCGCTTAAGCCCAGGAATTTGAGACCAGCCTGGGCATCACAGCAAGACCTTATCTCAAAAAACAAAATCAGAAACAAAAAGTATAAAATGAACCAATTCTGGATATCGAGTAGAGTATGATTCTAATGGTGGTCCCTGCCTGTGTCGGATCAAGAACCAAATCAGGTGGAAACTTCTGGTGGACAGAATCAGAGCCCATATGTGGGGGGGAGGGGTGCTGGAGGGAGGGCTGGACAGGGCACTCTAGCAGGCTCAAGAAAGATGCCCTTTGTCTGCCTCTCCTGTTGCAGCCTCAAGCCCTACCTTGGTACCCTTCACCCTTAACTTCACCATCACAAACCTGCGGTACATGCCAGACATGAAGCACGCAGGGTCTGCAATATTCAACATGACCGAGCGGATCCTGCAGCGCACGGTGAGGGACCCGAGATGCCCCCCGCCCTCTCCTCCTCACTCCTGCAGAGCTCCTCAGCTCTCCAACTCACCTCCCTCTCCTTCCTCCCTAGCTCGGGCCTTTGTTCAAGAACACCAGTATCGGCCTACTGTATGCTGCCTGCAGACTGATTTCCCTCAGGTGAGACGCTGTAGGGGCCAAGGGCACTGGAAAGTCAACTTGCAAATAGCAGATTAATCCCAGAAAGGGCATGCAAATTTATTTAGCATGTGTATGGGGGAAGGAGCTTCAGGATGAAAAGCCACAGATACAGGGGAAATTGTCCATTTTTACGCTTAGGTTCAACAAAATGTGGACAGCCATGTAGAAACACGATTAGACAAAAAGTGTATGATCTAATGCTAATAGATAATACAGAAACCCAGCAAGGCCTGTCTGTCTAGATTCTTCTTGGCCTCTCTGAGCAACGTTCCTACCTTCTGGGTATGGGGCAGGTCACTTTCTGGAATCAGGAGGGGGTGGGTCTTATGGCCTACAGTCAAAGAAGGTAGGTTAGATAGTTTCTGAATGACCAGTTTTTACATAGGAAGGCAAAGGGGGAAGTTTGAGTCATATTTTTAAGGTTTATAGCTGGCTTTACAGAAAATGGGCTCTGGTTTCTATGACTTGCTTTGGAGAAGAGGGATTCTCGTTTCTGTGGCTAGCCTGGCGGGCGGGAGGGGGGACGGGATGGGACGGAGAGATAGGTGGATAGGAGGAAATTAGGGAAAATAGTTTGCATCTGAGGGCTTCGTTTTGGGGTATTGTGTTCTGAGCCCCAAACAATGCCCAGGAGTGAACGCACACACTCCCACCCCTCCCAGATTTGGTTCTTGAATCGCCCCTTCTCCCCACCTGCCTAGTAGTGTAGCAAGGTGGGCCCTCTTCCTTGTTCCTACCCTCAGACATTCCTCCCTGTTCCCCTTCTGGTCCTAACCCACATGGAAAACATCCCCCCAGGAGTGACTGACCTTACAATTTCCAACATCATTCTGTTGTAAGGAAACTTCAAAGCACAATACCAAGCAGCCTTTGCAGCATGTACATTTCTTCCCCTACACTTAAAGTGCTCAAAGGTGACATACCTAAGAGAGTTGCAAGCTGTGGTGGCTGCCCCCATTTTATTTTACTTCCCCTTGGGTCAACTTCAGTGCCATGTCACCTTGCTCATAATGGTCATTTATAAAGTCTTGGGTTTTTTGTTATTGTTGCTGTTGTTGTTTTTGTTTTTGTTTTTGTTTTTGTTTTTTTGGTCTCCTTTATTTTTTCCGCCCACCTTCCACAAAAACTGACTTCAGCTTTGTGGCTTTTCCAAACATTATCATTCTTGCAAGTCACTTTCATTATTAGTCCTATATATGTTCCCGTCTCTCTGTCTCCCTCCGCGACCCAGGCCGGAGAAGGATGGAGCAGCCACCAGAGTGGACACCATCTGCACGCACAGCTCTGAGCCCACAGGCCCTGGGCTGGGCAGAGAGCAGCTGTACTGGGAGCTGAGCCAGGGGACCCACGGCGTCACTCAGCTGGGCTCCTTCACCCTGGACAGGGACAGCCTCTATGTCAACGGTGAGGGGCAGCACCTCTCGAGAGATCAATCACAGGAGGGGATGCATGAATAGCAGAGGGGCAAACTGCAGATAACCTGATGTAGAAATTCTTCCCTGTGCTCCAGAAATATCGTCTTTGGGTCTTGTCTTCAGGGTCTGCACTTGGAGGGCACTCTTTAAATCTGACTTCAACAAATGGATCCATAGAAACCCAGTGGGTCCGAGATCCTTCCCACTCCCCATCCTTACAACCCCTCACCTTCTCTTTCTTCAGGTTACACTCACCAGGCCCTGACCTCTACCCCCGGTGGTGAGTAATTTGTCGCCTCGTACCACTTGCCTTAGGGGCCCATCACTGCTCTGCTCTTTCGCCACCTTCATTCCCCAGCTCAGAAAAGACAGGCCAGCACAGGCTCGAGGCCAACAGAAATAAGGGTCCTGGCCTTGAGGGCCCGAGATGGGCAGTCCTTGGCTGGGGAGACTCTACCTCTGCCCAGGTTTGCCTCACTTCATTTTCTTCTGCATCGCAGCAGCCTCAACCATGTCTTCCGGGACCTCCGTGTCACTCTCCGCAGGTAAGAGCTCCCTCTCTGTGGCTCCTCTCTAAAAAGTCCAGTGCCCTCAGCCAGTGGGGAGCTATTAACCCCGGGGAGCCATGGCTCCCCACTCATTCCGCCAACAAGCATTTATTAAGCACTTACTGTAGAAAAGGCCTGAATGAGAAAGGAGCTCTAGTCTTGGATGGGGTCCCAGCAGGAAAGACAGAGAAGTGTGGCTGTATTGATAAGTACTGAATAATAATCAGGATTTTCCTGGGGTGAGTTTTGCAGGTGCATGGAGGGGTTCATGTCGCAGAGACTTAGGAAGGAAGGACAGGAACAGCATGGTCTGTGGTCATGCTCGGTGACTTGGGCAAGCTTTGGGTGGGACAAAGGCCACCTTCCCATTCCCGGCTTCTCGCTAGCCCAGGGAGGATTCCATACCACCCACCGGCCATGCTGGGGGGCCCCGATGAGCCGGTGTCTTGAGTCTCTGCTTTCTCCCCCGCTGGGGCCTCCTGAGGGCGTTCTGACCACTGGCCACTCAGTCCACCACAGGTGGTCACTGCTCGTGGGCCCAGGCAGACCACAGACTCTGGGACCACAATGCCTGGATTCAAGTTAGACTCTGCCATTTAGAGATTCGGTGACTGGGGAAAATGATTTGACTTCCCTTTGGCTACGATTTTACATCTTTAAAATGGGGATGACAAGATTACCTCCCTGTAAAGGTTTTGCCTCAGACATAAATGAGTTAAAATGTAAGTAAAGCACTCGCAACGAGGCCTGACATCTAAAAATGCAATATAGGTGTTTCTTCAAACAAATTATTTTAAAGATCAATAAGTGCATGGATCTCAAAGACACAGTTGGGGGCGGGGAGACCTTACAGAAGAAGGATGTCTGGAATTTTAGCCACATGAAGGGTCAGATAAGTTTGCTTTCTGCTTCAGGATGTATTTACTTGGAGAGGGCAATGTTTCACACTAGCCTTGGTGCATCAGTTAGTGCTGAAGTCTGGGGTGTCCTCCCTGAGGAAGTTGCCCATCTGCAGGGAAACCTTCCCCAACGCCTGAAGACGCACAAGCAAGACGCCCCAGACTCGCGTTCACAGAGCGACAGGCTCACAGAACGTATCTTTTCCACTCCCCCTGCAGCCTCCAGCTCTCTCCTAATGACGTTCACCGTCAACTTCACCATCCTGAACCTGCAGTACGTGGAGGACATGCAGAACATGGGTTCCTGGAGGTTCAACACCACAGAGAGGGTCCTCCAGAACTTGGTGAGAGCCCCGCCCCACTCACCATGCCCAGCCCCATTTGCTGATGTAAACCCCGCCCACCTCACCTTTGCCACGCCCATGGGAGAAGACCCCCATCCACATGACCTCAGTCCCCAGAAATGCAAGCCTTGCCCACTGGTGCCAGCCACGCCCACCTTGCCCTGCCCCGCCCCATCTGCTGCGATAAGCCCCGCCCACCTCACCTTTACCACGCCCATGGAAGAAGACCCCATCCACATGACCTCAGTCCCCAGAGCCCTGCCCACTGGTGCCAGCCACACCCACCTTGCCCTGCTCCGCCCACTGGTGTAAGCCCTGCCCCGCCCACTGGTGTAAGCCCTGCCCACCTCACCTTTGCCACACCCATGGAAGAAGACCCCACCCACCCACCTCACCTCCATCCCAAAATGCAAGCCCCGCCCACTGATGCCAGCCACGCCCACCTGGCTTCTGTTCACTTCTACTTACCTCCCTCTCCCTCTGCCACAGCTCACGCCCTTGTTCAAGAACACCAGCATCAACCCTCTGTACTCTGGCTGCAGACTGACCTCACTCAGGTGAGACCTTAGAATATCTAATCAGGGCTGCCCCAGGTGCTCCAAGGCCCTGAGAATTTGGTTGGCTTCCTTCCTGCCCTCCCTGCATGTGTCCTCAGCAGGGGTGGAATTCAAGAGGCAGTGGCTCCAGGACCAAGGTGTCTCTTGAGTCCAACACCCTCCCCACCTCAAATGAGAGTTTCTGCAGAGCCTGTACGCAGGACTGGACCCCTGCCCTGGTGGTCCCTCAGATCTGAAATTCCTCCTTCTGTCCCGCCCTTTGCATAAGAAGGGCATTTCCTTTAGGTTTTATATTCTGTCCCCAGGGTTTCTTCCAAGGCAAACTTGCCTCCTCCACTTGCTTTAATCCCCAGGCAAGCTCTTCCATCTGTCTCACCTGTGAAGATGCAGCTTTCACCCTTGCCATTTTTTAAAATTCTCATATCTTTGACTCTGCTCACAGTCCAAGGCTGGCTGGGAGTTGGCGCACTCAGAGAATCTAAGGGTTGCTTCTCACCTTTGTACCAGGCTTCTCATTTTCTATGGCCCCTTCCTGCTCTACCCCAGCCCTCCCGCCCCCGGGAACCTCAGGACCTGTCCCTAAGCAATGCATTTATCATCCTTCCTTTCACCTGCCTTCTCCTGGTGCCAGGAGAAATGGAGTGTCCCTTGTTCCTCAGCTGGGATGGAAGTGACCTTAAGCTAAGCTGCTCCTAGCTCTAGTTTCCTAGCAACTTGATAAAGGTGCAATGTCAGTTGTGTTGCCTGGAGATATTGTGTAGTGAAAATGACTCACATCTTTTCTGGGAGGACCATAATTAGACACCAATACCTAGGAAGAAGCTGTCACTTTGGGCTGCCTTAGGTGTGGTGATTTTGTTCACGGAGTGGCATTGTTAAAGAAATACTGTTTCCCCTATGGGACGTGGCACTCCTGAGCCAGGGGAAAGCTTAGACTTGTCTCTGGAGGTCTTATTTCCTTGTACACAGGCTGTCACTTGAGATGCCAAAGAGAAAGGCCTTGGACTGCCAAGGGGGCTCTTGCAAAAACAAAGAAATGCCCAGTGCTGTCCTGCTCCTATCCTTCTAAGTGAACCTGAAGCCCCACACAGCCTATTCAGGTCTTGCAAGTGCGAAAATTCTCAAATCAAAATGGAGTCACTCATGTTAAGAAAACCCCGGCAAATAGAGCCAAGGAAGACCATTGGGGGGCGGGGGATTCTCACGCTTGTATGCCCGCTAACAAAACTATCAGAAAAGACTGCAAAACCCACAACCTTGCCCAAAGCCTGTCACAACCTTATACAAAAAAAAAAAAAATACTTCCGAGAGGATATCTGCCCAGCAACTGCCTGTCCAACCTCAGACGGGCATCACCCTCGTTACTCATCTTTGTAGCCAAGGATGATTATGTCAAAACAATTACATAATCTTCTTCATTTCTTGTTCCATTAAAAACCTTTGTCTTCCTTTACCTCTCTGAATAGGTTCGTATCTCACTGTGGCACATGCGTTCCCCTTGCAATGTGCTCTCCCCATATAAACAGCTTTTCTTTTAGAGAGCCTCTCTCTGTTTGTTATTTAGGTTGACAAAAGTCTCACCATCTGATTTGGTCTAGGATGATCTAAAGAGAGCCGGCGCAGCCAGCTTATACTTTACTACACCCTAAGGCAAAACAAAAGGGAGATCTCACCTCATTGCAATTAGTCTGCAACCAGTAGGCAGTGATCCAATGCTGCGGTTGGTGAACAAGTTCTTGAGCCGGGGAAGGAGTGAGTGAAGGAAGTGGCGGGTCAAGGAGGAATGCAGAATGAAGCTCATACCTGCAGAGGGGTAGCTGATGGCCAGGATGCCTGTTGCAGGGAGGGGGAACATCAGGGGAAGAAAACAGAGCCATAGGTAGAGAGGGTGTGCAGAAAAGAAATAATCACCTGCAAGGGAGAGAGGGGAGAAGTGCACAGAGCAAGCTCCGGGGGCCTTAAGATTCGTGCTGGGACCCTGTGGCTTCATCCACAGCCAGCACGGAGCCCTGGAGTATAGCAAATGGCTAACTGGGGGAGAGTTCCATCGAGAGTGAGAAATGGCTACCATGGTGAGAATGAATTGCAAGGGACAAGAGACCCATGATGGGGACCTGGAATGAGGAGGCAGAAATGTAGCCAATTCCCTCCATGGCGAAAACGAGGTAGCTTCCCCATAATCATTGCGAAGCACCTTCTTTCTCTCTGTCTCCATCCCTCTGTCCCTCCCTCCGTAAGCATGAAAAACAGAGCAGCCCCCAGAGAATCTGAGTGTGGCTTCTCACCTCTCTACCAAGCCTCTCATTTCCTCTGGCACCTTCCTGTCCTGCACCCAGGAATCTCAGGACCCCTCCCTCGGGCAATCCATTTATTGTCGTTCCCTTCACTCACTCTCCCCAGCTCAAAGGAGAATGGGACCGCCACTGAAGTGAATGCCATCTGCAGCCACCGCCCTGACTGGATAGGCCCTGGGCCAAACAGAGAGCGGCTGTACTGGGAGTTGCACCAGCTGACTGACGGTGTCACCAAGCTGGGCCCCTACACCCTGCACAGGGACAGTCTCTATGTCAATGGTGAGCGCGGCCACCTGTGCTTTGCTATGTCTTAGAGACTGCATCCTCCCCTTCCAAGCTTCCTTTATTCCTTCTCTGCAAACATCACCTCCTCTCTCTTTCCCTCTCTATACAGGCTACACGCACCAGACTTCAGTAACCACTACGAACAGTGAGTATTCAATACCCTGCCCCGGAACCCCCCAGCCTCAATCCAGGGAAGGAAGCGACAGGCCCCTGCCCACATGTCCAACTGTCAGGGAGGGAAGGAGTCTGGCTCACAGGCTGGGAAGTCATTGCAGCGAGACCCAGCTGGGAAGCACCTCTGCCTGGTTGCCTAGACGCAGAGAAATACAACTAAATGTTGGTTAGGTGGCTGGATGAAAGAACATCAGTGAGCAACTCATAAACATAAGTTACAATAGTAGGCTGTCACCTTGAAGTTGTGCAGCTTCCAACGACTTCCCGCCTTCATCTAAAGCATGTGCAGATGAACATTGTTCACAGTTGGTGATGCTGGCATTAGACCCCGAGGTCCTGTAGGATTGCTATGGATGCCAGAGAGATGATGGCTGGTCTCAGGCATGGGTCCCCAGATCTTATCTCCTCCTCTGTCCCTCCAAGGCCTGACTGAACATGGCCTCTCCTCTCCCTCGCCTGTTGCAGCCACAAATACACCTCTGATGAACTTCACCCTCAACTTCACCATCACCAGCATGCGCTACAGGAAGGACATGCAGCCTCCGGGCTCTTCGGAATTCCAGAGCTTGGACAGGTCTCTGCAGTTTCTGGTGAGAGCCCCACCCATCTCGCTTTGCCCCGCCCACTAGCACCCACTCTGACTCTGCCTTCCCTACACTGATATGGCCCCGCCCCCTCATCCAGCCCTACCCACTGGTGGAGATCTGGCCCCTCCCTCTGACTATTTTCCATCTTACTTCTCCCTCTTCCACAGCTGGATGAGCTGTTCTGGAACACCAGTGTCCGCACACTGTACACTGGATGCAGACTCACCTTGCTCAGGTGCGACCTTACAACAGCCAGCCAGGGCGGCCCCAGGTGCTCCCAGGCCCAAAGGGTTCAGTGGACACCCACCCTGCCCTCCCTGAGGATGTCCTCAGCAGACGTGGAATTCAGGAGCCAGGTGTCTTCTCATCCCACTACCTTCCCACCAACAGTCCCCAGGCTCTGCAGAGCCTGTCAGCAGGACTGGGCCGCTACCCTCCTCATCCCCCCCAGTCCCCTCCCTGCGGCCACTTTACAAATGAAGGCAATCGCTTTGGGTACTAAGTTCCATGTCAAGGTTTTCTCGCAAGACAATCACGCCTTTCCACTTGCCTTTATGCCCAAAGGAAGCTCCCTAAATGTCTTCCCCTGTCCTCATGCCATAAGGATACAGAGTTGTGTCTTCAAATTTAGTAAGAATTCTTGTATCCATGACTCTGCTCACAGTTCCAGCCATAGGACCCCATGAATCTCAGGACCCCTCCCTGGGCAATCCATTCATTGTCACTCCCCTCACCCGCCCTCCACAGACCTGAGAGGCACGGGTCAGCCACTGGAGTGGACACCATCTGCACCTTCCGCTCTGACCCTGCACACCATGGGCTGAACAAAGAGTGGCTGTACTGGGAGATCAGTCAGCAGACACATGGCGTCACCCGGCTGGGCCCCGCCACCCTGGACCCGGACAGTCTCTATGTCAATGGTGAGAGGTTCCCATCCCTTGTTCTGCAGCTCAGCATGTACAACATACTCCCTGTTTACTGTTCTCTCTCTCTCTCCTCCCACCCTCTACTCAAACTTTCTCCCCCTACCTTCACAGGTTACACCCACAAGAGGAAGACCAAGCCCTCAGGCAGTGAGTATTCTGAGACTTCAGAAGTGTTGGCATCTCAGTAAGCTGCTTCCACCTGAGACCCATCCCTTAGGAATGGAAGAGGCCAGGAGCCCACTGCCTCCACTGCACACCCCACCCCACCTCTAGCCCTGAATGAACATGGACCTGTACCCCACAAAACACTTACATGGAGGCCCCTCCTCCCAGCATCTGCAAGATGATGGAGTCTCCAACCCAGGAACTTAGGGTGTTCTCTCTTGAGTCTGCACTGACCATGTGAACATGTATGGGGCAGGGCCATGTTGGGCTGTGGGTCTCCTCTTCCTCACTGCCTGGGCTCTGATGCAGAAGGTCACCCAGTTCACACGCCCATCTGGGCCTCCCATCACAGTACTTTGAGCAGGGCCTGGGGTCTGGGCGTGGACTCTGATCCCTGCCAGAAGGGGGCGCTGTCCTCCCTTCCGTCACTCTCAGGTGTGATGGTCCAGCCGCCAATGGACCATCTCTCCAGCCACCAGCTCCCAGTTTGTCAAGTTGGCTCTTGATGGAAGATCTCTCCCTTCCCCCTTCCCCTCCTTGTCTCTGCAGGTCCCACCCATCCAGCCTCCAACACGTCCACCCCTAGTGATTATTCCAGATCTCTCTATGTCTATGACCTCCTACCTCCCTTGCCCTGAGAAACAGGAGCCCCTCAAATGGCCATCCCTGACTCCTGTTACCCACCCATTGGATGGGAAGGGGCCAGTGGAATGTAGAGAAATGTCACCTGGCAGTGGATTGACAATTTGAGGAAAGGAGTTTGAGACCAACTTGGGCAACATAGCAAGACCCCATCTCTACAAAAAATAAAAACAAAATTAGCTAGGGGTTGTTGCACATGCCTGTAGTCCCAGCCACTTGAGAGGCTGAGGTGGGAGGATCCCTTGAGCCCAGGAGTTCCAGGCTACAGTGAGCTATGATCATCCCATGGCATTCCTGCCTGGACAGCACAGTGAGACCCCATTTCTCAAAAAAAAAAAAAAGAAATAAAAGAAAAAAGGAAAGAAAGAAGGAAGAAAGGGAGTTAGGAAATGAGGGAGGAAAGAAAGAAGGAAGGAAGGAAGGAAGGAAGGAAGGAAGGAAGGAAAAAGGATAAAAAAGAAAAGACAAGACCTCATTGGGGTGGCGGAAACATCTGCCCTCCCCCACACCCATGTCTGATGATAATGCCCTGACTCCAGGCTGAATGGGGCATACAGAACACACAAAGTTTTATTAGAGCCCCCACCACTGCTGGCCTTCCCTTACAGGAGTAACGCCCTTTGGCTTTCATTCCTAGCAGCTTTGTTCTCAGCAGCTCTGACCGCCACGCCCTCCAGCCAGGCCCACACATAGAAAGGTTCTTATTGATGCCAGATCATTCCCACAAAATAATCCGTACCCCATCACCGTCTCTCATTACCCACTCACCTTCTCCAAGGAACTCAGGACCCGAGTCCTGGGTCCCGCTCAGACCACACAGCAGCCCCTGGCCCTTGGTTCGGGCACCTCCTGGACATCCCTCCCGTCCCCTGGCCTCACCCTCCGAATCTGCTCCTTCCACCTCCCATCAAAGGCAGAGTCAGAGCACTGACCTTGACCTTTCCTCCAGCTCCCTCCCGCATCATCCCTCACACAACCTCGCCTGTTCTCCCCTCCGGATATTCCCCCAAGCCCCTCCTTTCTCGGCATCTGCATCACTCAACCTTCTTTGGGGTTGCCAGCATTTTTGCTAGGACCATTGCAGTAGCCTCTGCTCTGGCCTCCTAGTGCTCTCTGCACGGCAGCTTCTTGTCCCTCCCACTGTATCTATGTCCATTTCACTCCTGTCTTCTTCACAACCATTGGATGACTCCATCTGGTCCACAAGTCACATCCAAACCCCTGTGCTATTCTCCCTCCTCTGGACTCAAAGGATCTCTCCATTCTCACATCTCTGTCCCTACAGTGAAAGGCCATCTGATGCCTTGAGCGTGCCATGCTCTGTCCTCTTTCCAAGCCTTTTCCCAGGCTGTTCCTTCTGCCTGGACTGCCCTCCCCACTTGCTTAGCTCCTCTTCACCTAACTCTTCCTCATGCTTTTGGCCACACCTGAAATGATATTTCCTCGGTCACCGATTCGGTGCCTCTCCTGGACTTGCACATCCACACCCACCCCAGGCATCTCTCGAAGGTCACCTCCCTTCCAGAGCATCAGGACATATGCTCATTCCATCTTTGCACCCACAGAACTCAGCACACATTATGCGCTCCATAAATGCTCACTGAATGAATGAACAAAAGTTCCTGATGTCTTGGGAATTCCAGAATGTTTCCTGCCGGTGCCCCACGGTTAAGGCGACAGCAGCCCTGGTCATTATTGCTATGGCCCAGTCTGGACATCTCTGTCTCCCTCCCCCACTGCAGCCACTGGCCATACCCTGGTACCTTTCATTGTCAACTTCACCATCACCAACCTGAACTACACGGAGGACATGGGGCAGCCAGGTTCCTCCGTGTTCAACATCACCGAGAGGTCCCTACAGAACTGGGTGAGATGACCGCCACCAGCCCCACCTCCCCGCTGGCCACACGGCCCCTCAGCCCCTCCTCAGTCACCTCCGTCTGTCTTCCCACCAGCTCTCGTACTTGTTCCAAGAGACCAGTGAAGGCTACCTGTACGCCGGCAGCAGACTGGACTCGCTCAGGTGAGACAACACCCCCAGCCCAGGTGAGAGCCACTCCTCAGATCGGGTGTGTAAGGTTTTTCGGCGGTGGCGAAAAGAAAAGAGACACAGAAAGAGAAAGAGTAGGGGGGGCCAAACCACGTGGCTTTATTATACACTTGTGGACGAGGTTCTGGGGCCCCAAGAGCGGGGGCCCCGGAAGTCGCCGCAGTTTGAAGGGGCTGAGGCCTTTTATACCCTTTGGGCGGGGCTAGGGACTTGTGGCAGGAAGAGCTGGGATTCTCTATTGTGACCTTGGAAGGTCGTTGAGAAATAGGAGGGGCTGGAGGTATTGTGGAATCCAGGAGCGAATCCAGGTGGAGATCTGGGTGTGGTTCCTCTCAGTGGGGCCTGGCAGTTTGTCCTTGGCAGGTCAGGTCACTAAGCATTTTCTTTTTCCATCTAGGGAGGGGAGGGGGCCCCTGCCACCAGCCTTACAGGGTGGACCCTTGGGCGCCGGCCAGCAGGGCTCAGGGACCGCTCCCACCACAAGGGCTTCCCTCACCCGCCTCAAGAGACACCTTCATGCCTTCTTCACGTGCAGGTGGTGCAAACACTCAAGGCTTTAGACAGGAGATGTGTTTGGTTTACGGGATCCAGATGATATTTTTTATTACTATTATTTCAGCATATTACAGGGTACAAATATTTAGGTTACATATATTGCCTTTGCCCCATGCAAGTCAGAGCTACAAGTATGTCCATTCCCCAAATGGTGTGCATTGCACCCATTAGGTGTGAATATACCCCCCCTCCCCCTCCTCCCACCTGCCCGGCACGTGATGAATGTTACTACTACACGTGCATATGAGTGTTGATATATTGGTACCAATTTGATGGTGAGCACATGTGGTGCTTGTTCTTCCACTCTTGTGATACTTAGTAGACTGGGCTCCAGCTCCATCCAGGATGATGCAAGAGGTGCTGGATCACCGTTGTGTTTTGTGGCTGAGTACGACTCCGTGGTCTACACGCACCACATTTTATTGATCCACAGATAATACTGTTTTAAATGAGGGCTCTCCTCTTAGAAGAAGTGGGACAACCACACATGCTGTCTGCAAATTCTAATTAATATGTTTTCTGTCCCCAGTGTGAGGAGGTTGTCTTGGGTGAGAGACGCCTGGCAGAGCCCCTTCAATATCCTTCAGCCTCCTCCCCCCAACTCTTGCTTCCCAGACCCGGAAGGTTCAGGACCCCTCCTCAGTGTCCCACGTCCCTGTGTCCTTCTTTCCCCAGGCTTGCAGATGGCGGGGCGGCCACCAGAGTGGACATGGTCTGCACCTTCCACTCGTACCCCAAGAGCCCTGGACTCTACAGAGAGTGGCTGTACTGGGAGTTCAGCCAGCTGACAAAGGGCATCTCCCACCTGGGCCCCTACACCCTGGACAGGGACAGCCTCTACATCAATGGTAAGGAACCGTGTTAGAGCCACGGGCTCTCTCCCAGTCAGAGTCTTGCATTTTCCCAAAGCTCTGAGCACAGTTCCCACTCTCTCAAGGGGGCTTTTTCCCATCTTGGGGTCTGGGTTCAGTCTTCATTGTGATGTATCAAAACCATCAAAGAGGCCGGGTGTGGTGGCTCATGCCTGTAATCCTAGCACTCTGGGAGGCCAAGGCAGGAGGATTGCTCAAGGTCAGGAGTTCGAAACCAGCCTGAGCAAGACCCCATCTCTACTAAAAATAGAAAGAAATTAATTGACCAACTAAAAATATATATAGAAAAAAATTGAACCGGGCATGGTTGGGGCCACATCCTGTAAAGTCCCAGTACTCGGAGGCTGGAGGCAGGAGATCGCTTGAGCCCAGGAGATTGAGGTTGCTGGGACTAGCTGATGCCACGGCACTCACTCTAGCCTGGGCAACAAAGTGAGACTCTGTCTGAAAAAAAATCATCGAGGAAGCTGGGTGCGGTGGCTCACGCCTGTAATCCCAATGTTTGGGGAAGCTGAGGTGGAAGGATCACATGGGGCAGGAGTTCGAGACCAGCCCAGCCTGGGCAATGTAGCAAGACCCCCATCTCTACAAAAATTTTAAAACTTAGCCAGGCGTGGTGGTGCATGCCTGTAGTCCCATCTACTCGGGAGGCTCAGGTGGAAGGATTGCTTGAGCCCAGGAGTTCAAGTCTGCAGTGAGCTATAATCACACCACTGCACTCTAGCCTGAGCAACAGAGACCTTGTCTCTACAGATTAAAAAAAAAAGGCCATCAGAGGGACAATGACGGGGTCCAGCTACCTTCAGACTCGTTGCCTTCCCTGAGCATCTCTCCACTGCCCGTTCCCCTCTGGTTTTCCAAAAAGCAACCCCCAAATCCTCCCTTCCCACATTCCTTTTTTTTTTTTTTTTTTTTTTTTTTTTTGAGACAGAGTCTCGCTTTGTGCCCAGGCTAGAGTGAGTGCCATGCGTCAGCCTAGCTCACAGGCAACCTCAAACTCTGGGCTCAAGCATCCTCCTGCCTCAGCTCCCGAGTAGCTGGACTACAGCATGCCGCCCCCATGCCTGGCTAATTTTTTTTTATATATTAGTGGCCAATTAATTTCTTTCTATTTATAGTAGAGACGGGGGTCTTGCTCTTGCTCAGGCTGGTTTCTCGAAACTCCTGATCCTTGGCAATCCGCCCGCCTCAGCCTCCCAGAGTGCTAGGATTACAGGCGTGAGCCACCGCGCCCGGCCCACATTCCTTTACATTCAACCCAACTCTCACTCTTCCCCTCTTCCTTTCTCTCCGCAGGTTACACCTATGCAGCCCCAATTAACACAAGTGAGTATTCCTGGCCCTGCTTTCCTGGGTCTCATTCACACTTTTGGATTGGGGACAAGCTGCTCTCCTCCTCTTTTCCTAAATTGAGAGGAACATCTGGAAGGATCCTCAACTCATCCTTTCTCTCTCTCTCTCTCTCTCTCTCTCTCTCTCTCTCTCTCTCTCTCTCTCTCTTTTCTGGGTAGAGAGTCCCAGCTCAGAGTGAGGAGGGCTTAGACACAGATGTGTTCTCCCACCCCATTCTGACCCTCACGTGGTTGTTATTTTGATTCTCTTAAAAATCTTCCCTTGGGGGATGTCCCAACTCATTCCCTACCACATATATTCTCTGCTTAAATTCACACTACAACCATGTGCCTTAACTCTATTTTACAGATGAGGAAACTGAGGCTCAGGGAGGCTACCAAAGACACATAGCGAATCAATAATAGAGCCAGGAGTTCCTATGACTCCAAAACTCATGGCCCAACTCTTCATAAGATCCATGCCTCAGTTCCTTTATCTCAAAAGACATGCTGGTTTGGGGGCGTACACCTATTATACTCAAGTTCAAGGGCAAATTCCCTTTGCATCTCCAGAAAACCTGTGTGTGGTAAAAAATCAAGAATTAGGGAATTGAATGTGTGTGGGAAGAAAGCAAGAGGGGTGGATGGAAGGAAGGAGGTTGCAGGGTAGTGTGGACAGAAAGATGCATAGAAGGGGAGATGAATGGGAAGAAAGAAGGGAAGAGGTGAGGGAGGAAGGACAGATGGATGGATGGATGGATGGATGGATGGATGGATGGATGGATGGATGGATGGAAAGATGGAAGGAGAGAAGACAGGAGGGATGGAAGGAGATAAGAGCCTCCCAAACCGCCCTTGCGTTGCTTTGGTGCCTCCTGATTCATGAATTGCTGTTTGTGCATGCAAGTTCTTAAATTCTTTGTCTTAAACATCAGCTCATATTTATACTAAAGCTCCACGCGTAGTAAGGTGGTCAGAAAGCAGTTCTTGTTTATTTTACATAATGAGCGTAAGCACATCATGTTTAATCTCTGCTGAGCGGTGCTTGCCCACTGGACAAAGATTAGCTTGTTTAAGCCTCGTAACAACCTTCGAGGCAGGAATCTTGACTGTGGACCATTTTCATGAGCCCATTTCATGGATGAGTAAGTGGAGGTGCAGAGAGGGCAGTCGTGGTTGCTAGGATTGTTGGCTCTTTTGAGCGATGCGTGGAAGGTTGGTGTGTACCTGGCTGTAAGAGCAGGAGGGGAGAGGGGACTGGGCGGGAAGAGAGAGAGGAGAGAGAATATGAACGACTATGTTTGAACGTCTGGGGCCCTCAACTCTGTATCAGCGTGGCAATATGAACTCTCTCCCCCTGGGAAAGGACAAAACCACCGGTATTTTTTTATAGAGTCTTTCCTTCCAGCACCTGGGTGGAAATGGCTCATCGGGACCCACCCCACACAGACCATTAGGCACGCCCTTACTGGGGCTGTCTCCATCAACGAGTCGCCCCGCCCTCGGGTTCATGGGCGAGGCGGACAGGGGGCCTTGGAGGCCCCACCCCAGGTGCACGCTGCCCCCACCCCCCTGCGCCACCCCCAACGCACACACACACTCACCGTCCTCCGCACAAGAGCCATCTCCGTCTCTCTCCCCGCCTCTGCGCAGCCGGGGACCTCAGCGAGGAGCCCTTCACGCTGAACTTCACCATCAACAACCTGCGCTACACGCCGGACATGGGGCGCCCTGGCTCCCCCAAGTTCAACATCACCGACGCCCTCATGCAGCACCTGGTGAGAGGCCTGTGTCCCCCTGCCCCGACCCTCCCCGTCCTAGGGCTGTTGCCGGCCTCTGACCAGCACTGGCTCCCTCTTCCTTCCGCAGCTCGGCCCTTTGCTCCAGCACAGCAGCCTCGGGGAGCTCTACGCCGGCTGCAGGTTGGCCGCGCTCAGGTGAGGACCCCCGCCTGCCTCCGCCCCGCCCGCCTCGCCCCGCTCCGCCCGCCTCCTGCTCCGCCGCCCGCCCAGCCTCCGCCCCGCCCCGCTCGCCCCGCCCGCCCCGCCCCGCCCCGCCCGTCGCCCGGCCGCCCGCCCGCCCCGCCTACCGCGCCCCGCCCGCCCGCGCCCCTGCCCCGCCGCCTGCATCCGCCGGCCCTGGCTCGCCCCGCCCCTGCCTCCGACCCCGCCCCCAGCCGCCACCCCGCCCCGCGCCCGCTCCGCCCCCCTGCCCCGCCCGCTCTCTCCACCCCTGCCTCCGCCCCGCCCCTGCCTCCGGCCCCGCCCCGCCCCCTGCTCCGCCCGCCCCTGCCTCCACCCCGCCCTGCCCGCCCGCCCCGCCTCCGCCGCCGCCCCTGCCTCCGCCCCCCCGCCTCCTCTCCACCCTGCTCGCCCCGCCCGCCCCTGCCTCCGCCCCGCCCCCAGGCCTCCGCCCCGCCCCTGCCTCCGCCGCCCCGCCTCTCCCCACCCCTGCTCCGCCGCCCCTGCCTACGCCCCGCCCCGCCCCTCTCCTCTCCACCGCTTCCGCCCCGCCCGTGCCTCCACCCGCCCTGCCTTTTTTTTCCTCTCCACCCCTGCTCCGCCGCCGCTCTCTCCACCCTGCTTCCCGGCCCGCCCCGTGCCTCCGCCCGCGCGTGCTCTCCCACCCGCCCTGCCCTGCCTGCCCGCCCTGCCCGCCCCTCCCCTGCCTCCGCCCGCCCCGCCTCGCCCGCCCTGCTCCGCCCCGCCTGCCCTTCGCTCCGCCCTTCGCCCCGTCCCGCCTCGCCCGCCGCACCAGGGCTGAACACTGGAAATTCTGACAGGCTACCTCCGTGGGTTGGGGTGGGCTCCTTTCATTTTTTTCTTTTTGGTCTTTTCAAATCTTCCTTTTGTGACAGATTTTTTTTTTAGTGTGTACAAGCTTCAATGTCTTTTAATATGTTCACAGTTGTGCGACCACCACTGCAAATCAACATAGAACGGTGGTTTTCGTCCTCCAAAAAGAAACCCTATAGCTTTAGCTATCATACCCCCATGGCCTCACCCCTTAAGCAGCTATTAATCTACTTTCTGTCTCCATGCATTTGCCTATTCTGGCCATTCAATATGCATGGAATTATATATATGACCTGTTTGTTGTATCTGGCCTCTTTCATTTAGCATAATATTCTCAAGGGTTATCCATGTTCTAGCCTGGCATGCATCAATACTGCATGACTTTTTATGGCTGAATATTGTATTGTATGAAATCACATTTTATTTGTCCATTCATCAGTTGATGGGCATTTGGGTTGTTTATACCTTTTACCTATTATGAATTGTGCTGCTATGAACATTTGTATGCAGAGTTTTTGGTGCACGTTTTCATTTCTCTTGGGTATATACCTTGACGTGTTTTCATTTCTCTTAGGTATATACCTGGAGTAGAATTGTTAGGTCAAATGGTACCTCTAACCTTCATAAAATGCTGGTGGCAATATAAAATAATGCATCCACTTTAGAAAAGAGTCTGGCAGTTCCTCAAAAAGTTAAATAGAGAGTTACCATTTGACAGTTCGATTTTTGACGAAGAAACATTGTATACATTTTTTTATTACAATAGATTTAGGGGACTACAACGTGTTTTTTGACACATGGATACATTTTATCATGCTGAAGTCAGAGCTTTCATTGTACCTGTCACTAGAATCGTGCACATTGCACCCCTATAAGTAGATATTTATCCTTCATCTCCCTCCCATCCTCCCCCCTTCTTGGTCTCCAATGTCCTTTACACCACTTTACGACTGTATATACCCTTCTATTAACTCTCACTTATAAGTGAGAACACATGATATTATTTTTTCCATTCCTGAGATACTTCACTTAGGATAATGGTCTCCAGTTCCCTCCACATTGCTGCAAAAGACATTATTTCATTCCTTTTTATGGCTGAGTAATCCTCCATGGTATGTATGTATACCAACCTAAGTGCCCTTCAGCAGATGAGTGGATATATATATACGCCACATTTTCATTATCCACTCATCTGTCGATAGGCATTTAGGTGGATTCTATATCTTTGCAGCCATCAATGTATCTGTATCCTTGCAGCTGCAATAAACATGCAGGTGCAGGTGTCTTTTTTCATCAAATGACTTTCTTTTTTCCTTTGGGTAGATACCCAGTAGTGGGATTGCTGGATGGAATGGTGGCCTTCCTGTTTGTTCTTTGAGGAATCTCCATACTATTTTCCATGGAGGTTGTGCCATTTTACCTTCCCACCAACAGTATATATGCATTCCCTTTTCACCACATCTGCACCAACATCTGTTGTAGTTTTGACTTTTTAATAATGGCCATTATCAAGGTGTATAATCGGGTATAATGCGGGAAGCTGCACATGCTTCAACAAGGCTATATCACAGGCTGTGGGGTGTGCAGTGACCACAGGCAGAGAGGTGCCAGGTGGCCTGCCTTCCCTAAAGGTACAACTCTTCCTCCTCAGATCTACGGAGACCGGCACCCAGACACAGTTGGACTTTCTCTGCGCCTACTGGCAGCCACCCGGTGCCCCAGTTCTGCTTGCCAAGTGGGTGTTCCATGAGCTGAGCCAGCAGACCCGTGGCATCACCCGGCTGGGCCCCTACTTTCTGGACAAAGACAGCCTCTATGTTAACGGTGAGCAGCCCTCAGTCCCACTCCAAGGCCCACCCCCTGTGGCCTACGATGGTGTTACTGGTTCTTTAGGGAAAGACTTAGGATTCGAATCCCAGCTCCGACACCCCCACACACAGCTACCCTGCAAGGTTGGTCTCTGCTTAATCCCATTTTACAGATGAAGAAACCGAGGCTTAGACAGCTTAAGCAATCTGCCGAAGTGGGTGTAGCTTGAGAGTGGTGGATGCAGAGCAGGAGTGGCTCTTGTCAGCGTTCAATGCCATGCTCCACTCTACCTGTGTAACTCACAAAAGCGTCTTTCCAGGGGAGACCTGGAGAAAGAAAAAACACCTGCCTCCTCCCTGCCTTCTTCATGAAGTGGGCGTCCCATATCACTTATACGAGGTACCTAGGTGTGGGTACCAGGACGTAGGGAGACACCCTGAGCCTTCATTACTCCCATTTTAGCAAAGGGGGAAACCAAGGCACAGAGAGCGGAAGGCACCTGCCAGTGCCTTGCACAGTATGTTTGTGGCTTGTCTAGGTCTTGATGTTCATTTTTGTTACTGGTTGTTTAAATGTATGGGGTACACATGCGATTTTGTTACATGCATATGTAGTGGTGAAGTCAGGGCTTTTGGGGTATCCATGACCCAAATAACATACATCGTCCCCCTTAAGTAATTTCTCATGCTCCATCCCATCATGCCCCCCCACCCTTCCAAGTCTCCATCGTGTATCATTCCACTCTCTCTACATCCATCCATACACATTATTTCAGTCCCGCTTATGAGTGAGAACATGCGATATTTGTCTTTCTGCATCTGACTTGCTCACTTAAGGCGTCGGTCTCCAGTTCCATCCATATTGCTGCAAAAGACATGACTTCGTTCTTTTTAATGGCTGAATCGTATTCCACTGTGTATGTGTAGCACATGTTCTTTATTCAATCCTACGCCAGTGGATTCCGTATATCTTCGCTGTTGTGAACAGTGCCACAATCAAACGAGTGCAGGTTGGGTCTTGATGTTCCGAGTTTACAACATCTTTGATGTGGCCACTTGCAGGAGCCTGTTTAGGGCTTTTCCCTCTTGCAAACCGCGCAGTTGACGTGTTTCGTTGTGTGTGTTCGTTCAGATTTACTAAGCATATACGCCAGGCCTTGTCCCTGGCTCCAGGGACGGAGCTAGGTTGCCTGTGCACCTTGCCCTAATGGAAACTCTGGTGGGCAGAGACTGTCTCTGTTCAGCACTGTGTCCCCCAAATGTAATCGGAGCCTCGCCCGTAGTAAGCCTGCAATACATATGCATTGGATGGAGGGAGAGATTGGAGGGAGGGTGGAAGGGGAGGTGGTGGGGTGGGACGAATGAATAGGTAGAGGGACAGATGTGTAAAGGTAAGAGCCTCTTGTTGGGAGCACGCCAGAGAGGTGGGTCAGGAAGAGTCAGTTTGAGTGAAACATCGGGAAATTCTTTTTAGTGGACACGACATTTAAGTCAGATCTTAGGAGATGCATAAATGCTCACTCGGTACACAGAGGTGAGCAGCCAGAGGCCCCACGTGGACAGCGGCAGAGAGTATCTGGGACTGTTGTGTCACCTCCCCTTACGTGCGACCTTTTTGTTTCCAGGTTATCACGAACATGGTCCGGATGAGCCTCCCACAAGTATGTGTCTTTTAATCCAGTGCCCATTTCAGCCTCCGTGGGTCTTGGAGCAAGCTCTTCTCCCCTCATTCATGAAGGGAGCTTGCCCCAGGCTCACGCCAGTCTCCTGAGTGCGGGCAGTGCCTCGGTGGGAGGGAGAATGCTGAGTCCTAGGGCTTTGGGGGCCTGCAGCTGTGGTGTTATTGGCTTTCTGAATTTTCCACACCCCTCTGGGTTGGAGGAAGAAGTTTGAACAAATATTCCCTACAGGGATGAGGGTTGAAGTCAGAGGATGACCTTGTAGCCCCGCTTCCTGATGACAAAGTTTCATTAGGACACCCCGGCAGGGGCCTTTGTGGTCAAGCTGCAAATTCTGATGGCTACTCAAGTAGTATTGGCTAAAGTTACCTATTCTCTTATCAGTGGTCCACTCATCTGTCTGTCCAGCCATCCCTCCCCTCAGGAAGCATCCACCCATCCATTCACCCACAAACCCACCCATCCATCCACCCACTCACCTACCCATCCATCCACACACCCACCTATCCATCCACCCACCCATCCACCCACCCACCCACCTATCCATCCACTTATCCATCCACTCATTCTCACAGCCATTCACCTTCTGTCACCATCCACCCATCCATCCAACCACCCATCCATCCATTCATCTACCCACCCATCCACTTATCCATCCATCTATTCATCTGTCCACCCATTCTTCTGCCCATTCACCATTTTTTCTTCCTCTGTCCTTCCTTCTGTCCAACTTCTCCTTATTGTTTTTATTCTTCTTGCCTTCTTTTCCTACCAGTTGTCCATTCTTCCTCCTGTCCATCCATCTCACCTTCCATTTTTCTGCCTGTCTATCCATTTCTGCCATCCTCTCTACTCAGCCTCTCTCTCTTCACCCCCCTCTCACCCTCTCGGGTAAATTTAACTCACAGGATTGCTCACCCCCTCCACTCACACAATCACTCTTTCCCTCACTCTCATTCATGGCCCATTTGTGAATGTTTGTCCTGGCTTGGACCTCTGTTCTATCCCAGGTGAGGGGGCTTCTGCCACTAGGTGGGAGCCTGTGTCCCTCTCTGATGACTTGCCTTTCCACAGCTCCTGAGCCAGCCACCACTGCCCCGCCTCCTCCAGTATCCACCACAGGTATCTGGGGTTCCTGTCCCTTCCCAAGAGAAGCCCCTCAGCCCCCCACCCCCACCAGCTAATCGTCATACGGGGCCGGGAAGGAAGGGTATGAAGACTATAGTGTCAGGGTGATCTCCTGGTCCAAGATCAGACTAGGGTTCAATCAGGGCACCTGCCCCATGGAACCGGCTCATGAGACAAACAAGCGGCTCACTAACAGCAGTGGTGGGACTGTTTTGGGGAGAGACGCGGGCATAGTTTGGGGGGGGGGTGCTTCTGGCACAAATTTCACCTAAACGGGCAGTCTGTTGAAGGATGACTGAGAGTGACTCACGGCACGAGGATTGGGGTGCATGAAGAGCATTCGCTGGCAGAGGGATTGATTCTGTGAGGCAAAGGCTCAGAGCCAGAACAGCCATACAGTGTGATCGGGGAGAATGGAGAGGATTCGGTTT